AAGGATGGAATGCCCAGTTGTATCTCAACCCCAAGGGGGAAGATGCAGATATATGGGCGATGATTGGTCAGATTCTCATGACTAAGAGTGCGTCTCTTATCGAAGTTATTTTTGTACATTCCCATCAAGGGGCAGAGCAGATGGTGTCAGGCCAAGCCCCAGCTTGGCAGATCGTCGGCAACACGGTGATTGACGAGATCGTGGGACTGATGGCGTTGGAAGTTCGACTGGAGCCAGGAGTTCGACATCATATTCATGTCTTGGAGAATGAGACGTATCTTCTCAGGCATCGGCTATTGCATGCTGCTCTGGACAGTGTACGAGCAGGAGCTGGACATGTGAGAGGAAAGCGCCCACCTCCTCCTCCCCCACCTCCTGCTAAGTCAGTTGTAGTTAATTTTACGACCTCCCACGTGTTGTCGGAGAGCGGCAAGAGCTGCACCAGGTGTTTTGGTACGGCCTCCCTGGCCACCGCAGGCCTCTGGAAGGCCAGCCCTTGTTTTCACCCTGTGAATATAAATGGTTCGTTTTTCACCCTCGGGGCTGAAGACAATATTCACATAGGGGGGGGCTGGGTCCATAAGAGCCACAGTATGAGATTATGTACTAAACTTCAGTTGTGGTTTTGTCATGTCTGCGGTAGCTGCGCCAGTCAGAGGAAGTGTAACCTTCACAAGGAGTGTAGTCTCAAGGCCTCACCCACGGGAACCGAGTACCTTCGGAGAATCGAGCTAGGCCTTCAACCTAAAGTGTTGAGTAAGACCGAACAACAGAATCGGCTGGCCTCTGCTCGGAAGGATACCTCCCTGGGATAAGGCCCCTTTTCCCTTTTCTTTTTCACTTAGTGAACAGACATTCCCATTCCCACTCCTCCTTTTTTCTCCTCCTTCTCCTCCTCCTCCTTCTTTTTCTCCTCCTCCTCCTCCTCCTCCTCCTCCTCCTCCTCCTTCTCCCTTTTCTCCTCATCCTCCTCCTGCTTCTCCTCCTCTTCCTTCCTTTCTCGTTCCTCCTCCTCCTGCTCCTCCTCCTTCCTCCTCCTCATTCCTCCTCCTTTTCCTCCTCCTCCTCCTCCGTCCTCCTCTTGCCCCGCCAAGGGCCTCTCCCTTTGCTTTTGTGATTTCCGAATCCTGCAGGGGCCTGCTCCTCGGGCCCGCGGTCCACGGGGGGCGCGGGGCCTCGAATGGGCCCCGTTCCTGGGGTGCGGTCTCTCCTGCACATTACGGTGGGTAGACAAAAGGTGTCCACGCCCATCGCGCCAAGGCAACGCTATGCGGCAACGCATCGATAGCTTCCTCCACCTCCACCTCCTCTTCCTCCTCCTTCTCATCCTCCTCCTCCTCCTCTGCTCCGCCTCTCCTCCCTCCCACACTTCCCCCTTCTCTCCTCCTCCTCCTCCTCCTACCTCCTACCTACCTCCTCTCGTCCCCCCCTCGGCTTCATCTCCTCCTCTCTCACCTCCTCGCTCTCTCCTCCTCTGCCACCACCTCCTCCTCCTCTCCTCCCACCCTTTTCCTCCTCCTCCTTCTCCCCTCCTCTTTTCCCCCTTTTTCCTCCTCCTCCACCTCCTCCTCCTCCTCCTTCTCCTTCTCTCCTCCTCCTCGCCCTCCTCCTCTTCCCCCTCCCCCCCTCCCCCCATTCCACCATCCTCCTCCTCCTCCTCCTCCTCCTCCTCCTCCTACTTCCACCTCATCCTTTTTTCTCCTCATCCTTTTTTCTCCTCCTCCTCCTCCTCGCGCCCTCTCCTCCTTTCCTCCTCCTCCTCCTCCTCCTCCTCCTCCTCCTCCTCCTCCTTCTCCTCCTCCTCCTCCTCCTCTTCCTCCTCCTCCTCCTCCCCAACCCAACGTTGACAGCGGCGCGCGCGAGGCTTCGCGCGAATGGCAAACCGCGGGCACTTCGATGTTGGGCTTGGGGGGGAGGGGGTTGGGGCATAGGTTGTGCAAGGCGTTTTCCGTTTTCGCGTGATATGGTATGCGTGCCATTGGTGTGGGCACTTGTTGCCTGGCCACCGCAGTTATCCTGAGATCTGACGCTGCGAGCCAACGCGACACACAGCGACACACCACGACGGGAGGCCCAGGGAGCCTCATTCTGCGGCGTCTTGAGAGCAGGATCGGTTCGTGATGGTCCCAGGGCCAGCACTGAGTCCGGAAGACACTCGCAACGGCCGCATCTCGGGGTAGTACCACCTCGTCCTCACCCTGCCCCCCGCTCTCGCTCTTGGGCCGTGGGGCTACGTGTGGGCGCCAACTGGAGTTTCGAAGCGTTGAAGTCGCATGCCCGTCGGTCGCTGATGCAGTTTTTTGTTGGAACCTCTGTTTCCAATCTGCTCTATCTAGGTGCATTCCTCCTTTAATGATCGAGTGGGCTCCTCTTTTCCTTCATCTTGAGGTGGCGGGCGGAAACCCAATCTACTTCCAACGCCTTCCTACTTCATGCTTCTATCCACTTCTTCCGACCGACAGGTAGGGGGTACCGATGTCAGCAGCTTCGAGGAACGTTCCGATCTCGGCCAGACTTGGGAGACCAGAGGGGGCCCCGCGCCTTCGTGCTCCTCGCTCCGGACCCGGCGAGCCGAACACCGCCGACATCGAGCTTCTGGGCCCGCGCGCTTCTAGAGCTCTGGCGAGGAGGCATCTGCGCAGGTGCACCGATCCTGGCCAGGCCCATCCTGGGCCCAGGATCGGTACATATGCGTGCCTGGCCCAGCCTGGAGGGCGTATGCGAAGATCCTGGGCTCAGGGTGGGCCTGGCCAGGGTCGGTGCACATGCATACGCGTCCTGTGCCTCTTCTAGCTGTGCAGCCCCCCCCCCCGGCTGTCGAGGTCGTGCATCCCGCTTTCGTGGAGGGCAGAGCTCTGGTCCCCCCGCGTTTTGGGCCCCTGCAGCTCCGGGGATCGGGCGGGCGCGCGAGCTCCAGGGATGCGAGGTTCAGCCAAGAGGCTGAAACGAGGTCCGCTTTTTTCGGTTCGTCAGGGGCTCGCTGTTTCCGTAGGTCCTTCCGTGGTGGTTCCTCTAGCCCTGCCGGGCCCGTGCGCGCTTAGGGGTGCTCAGGCGCCTGCTTCGCCGGATGGTGCCGTCGGCAGAGGTCGGCTGGAACTCTCCTTCCCGACGGCTGTTTTCTCTGGACGGGGCTCGACAGGTACTCCCCCCCCGTGGAGGGTGGGGCGATCAGGAGAGAAGGTTGGTCATCTAGCGGACCTCCGAAAATTTACGGCCAAGGCGCCGAGATAGGGGCCGCTTTGGGTGAGTCGCTGTTCCTCAGGCTATTCCGTGGTTGTGCCTCTGGCCCCTGCGGGCCCGTGCGCGCCGAGGGGTGCTCTGGCGCCTGGTTGGCCCGGCCCGCTGGTGCCGTCGGCAGAATTTTCTTTGGACGGGGCTCGACAGCATCTTCCCCCGTGGAGGGCGGGACGTTCAGGAAGAAAGCTCGTTCTTCTATAGAGGACCTCCAGCGGTCTGCAGCCAAGGCGCTGAGATGGGGACCGCTTCTGGGATCTGGTTGGGGCCCGCGGTTCCTCGGGTCGCTCTGTGACTGTTCCTCGCCGCGACAAGCATAAACTTTTGGCGCTCCGCGCGGAGTTCCTGGATCCGCGCTGGGCCCCCCTGGCGGCGCCTCCGGTGCCTCCCCTGGCGCGCTCCGCGCACCAGGGAGGGGGCTCTCGCCCAGACCCAAGAATTCCGCGCGGACCTCCAAGAAATCATGTCTATTCCGTTTGTTCTTCCTTTATCTTCGTGCACCCAGGTGCTTCTGTCGGGCCCCACGAAAGGGGGGGGTAGGGAAAGGGCGGGTTACGAAATCTGCTGCACGCAGCTGGTTTCAGCCCCACCGAGGGGCCCATTCCTTGATACATGGGCGCCTCCGGCGCCGGGAGGCGCCGGGAAAATCAGCTACGTGAGCTGAGTCTAAAACCACCCCTTTGCTATCCCCCCTTTCTCCCGACCCGACAGGTGCTTCTGGGGCCGCAGAGGGGCTTCGTTCCTTGTGTCGCGCACCTCGATGCGGCAGCTCGGCGATCATCGCAGGCCGACCCCGGCCGCCCGCCGCCTCCTCCGCCGCCGCCTCCTCTTGCTCCACCTCCACCTCCTCCTCCACCTCCTCCTGTTCCTGGCTTCTGCTCCTCCTCACCCTCCTCTGCTTCCTCCTCCTGCCCCTCTTGCTTCTCCTCCCCCTCTGGCCTCCTCCTCCTCCTCCTCCTCCTCCTCCTCCTCCTCCTCCTCCTCCTCCTAACTACTTCTCCTCCGCCTCCTCCTCCACCTCCTCTTCCTCTCCTCCTCCCCCTCCTCCTCCCACCTCCTCTGCCCCTCCTCCTCCTCCTTTCTCCTCCTCCTCCCTCCTCCTCCTCCTCCTCCTCCGCCCTCCTCCCCTCCTCCACTGAACTCCTTCCTTCCTCCTCCTCCTCCTCCTCCTCCTCCTCCTCCTCCTCCTCCTCCTCCTCCTCCTCCTCCTCCTCCTCCTCCTCTGGGGCATCGCAGCACGCTGCCCCCGAACCCTAGATGGGGTCCGACCCGATCCACTCGGACCCAACGGTCGGCGGCTAGCCCGGGGGGAAGTGAGAAGGAGAATGCCTTCCCAGAAGGCTCGGATTCTGATGTTCCAACCTACTTTAGCCTTGATCACCAGAATTAATTGCGAGCGCCAAGGAAACACCCCAGAACTTGAGGATTGTCACGTGCCGGGCCCTGGGAGACACTGTTTCGACACTCTTTCGACACTCTTTCGACACTCTTTCGATACTTTTCTGGGTGCTCGGAATTACTTCTGGGATGTGGTCCTTAAGTACGATGGGAGCAACACAAGGCAAGGAAGTCCCCCGGCCTTTGCGAAGTGTGCTGAGCCTTCCCCGAAGACGCAGAACATTTCTTAGCAGACGCGAGGGCTTCTGAGAAGTCCCGCCGCCTTCTGAAAAAGGCCTTCTCCATCTCGCTTCCACCCCTCGCTCGCCGCCGGCACTCGGAAGGCCTCTAGAGGAGGTCACCGCCCGCGCCGCCCTGCCCCCCACGAGGAGACGCTGAGGCGGAAGCACGAGAACGCTCTGGTCTCCCGCGCCGCGCAGCGCGAGCAAATGAGGCCGCCGCCCTCCCGCGTCCTGCTGCTGCGAGGGCCAGGGGCAACGTTGCGGGGGGTGGGGTGCCAACCCAGGCCTGGCAGCTACACGAAGGAGAGAAAAATCGCCACAACCCTATACTTCTGGCGCTCCGCGCGGATTTGTTTGATCTGTGCTGGGCCCCCTCCCCGGCGGTGCCTCCGGCGCCGCCCCTGGCGCGCGGAGCGCGCCAGGGAGGGTCTTCTCGCCCAGATCCAGAGGCCCACGCGGAACTCCTGGATCTGGGCGAGAACCCCCTCCCCTGGCGCGCGGAGCGCGCCGGGGGAGGCAAGGCGCCGCCAGGGGGGCTCCAGCGCAGGTCCGAGAACTCTGCGCGGAGCGCCAAGAGCTTGTGCTTAACGACTGCGCAGCCTCTCGCGCGTGCGCCCGCCGCGCAAGGTCGTTGGGCGAGCGCCCTCTCCTCCACACCATGTGCGGCCCGCGTAGGCCACCGCGCAAGATCGCTGTGCCATCATGCGTACACGCCGGTCGTTGAAAGTAGATATTTCTGGATTCCCAGATCCCAATCTATTTCAAGCGCCTTCCTACTTCAAGAATCGGCATGCTTTTGCTATGTGTTGTTGTTCTCTGAGAGGGCCTGCACCCAATCCACTTTATCCGCCTTCCGACTTCATGTTTTTACCTACTTCTTCCGACCGCCGTGTAACCCCTGAGGGTATTTTGTTTTGGCCCCTTTTTTTCAGTCGGCGATAAACAGGACTGGTCCTGAAACCTCCTCCTCCTCCTGAGGCATAAGTCGTAGTAGTCGTCGTAGCCGCAGTTGCAATCGTAGTCGCAGCAGCCGTCGTCGTGGATGCGCGGCGTGTGCCGCGGAACACGACAATGAGTTACCCCCTTTCGGTGAGGCCCCGGTCCCTCAATAAGACCGCCGAGCAAATCCGCCGATCCGGCGTGTGAGTTTCAAGGAGTCTCAGCTACAGCCTCGAGGCTGAGCCTCAGCCTCTGGGGGGGTTGCCGGGGTGGCTCTGCCGGGGAAGGGGGGGTGGGGGGGGGGGTGCGAGTTTCCGGCGGATGCGGGGTGGGAGCGTTTTTTGACACCCCTCACAAGGATCGTGGCCTCAGAGGGGGTTCCGAACTCGAGTACCACCCCTCCCGAACCAAGAAGCTCCGAAGAGGCCTCCAAGAGGCCCCAAGGGGCCCAGAAGAGGCCCCCAAGAAGCCCCAAGAGACCCCCAAGACACCCCCCAAGAGGCTCCCAAGTGGCCCCAAGAGGCCCAAGAGGCCCCCAAGAAGCCCCAAGAGGCCCCCAAGAGGCCCCCAGAGGTCCCAGCCAACCACGAGATCACAACCAGCGTCCATGAGGCCTCTGACCCACCACCCACGCACGGTGGCGGGATAGGCCGAAGGCCAATGGATCCGCCGCCCCCTGCTTGCAGGGGTGCACGGCGTGCTGGATGTTTCAGGTTTTGGTTTTGGTTCTTTTTCCAAAAGAACTCCCCAGTGGGCTCCGGCAGAACCCGCCGGCCACCCGGAATTTCCCCAAACGTGCTCAACGACCGCAAAAAATCCTCCAAGAACGGCCGTTTCGCTCGGGACATCCTCAAAAAATCGCGAAGATGGCCCAAGATGGCCTCCAAGTCCGCCCGAGATGGTCCAAGACGGCCTCCAAGACGGCCCAAGAGAGTCCAAGACGGCCCAAGACGGCCCAAGAGGCCCCCCAGAGGCCTCCCAGACGGCCCAAGAGGCCTCCAAGAGGTCCTCCAGGAGAGTCCGAAGAGGCCAAAATCATTGATTTTCCTTTGGTTTTTGAAGGATTTTGGCATTTGCGCCTTTTCGGCTCTCCGACGGCTCAAGACGGCCCAAGAAGCCCCCAAGATCGCCCAAGAGGCCCCCAAGAGAGCCCCATGATGGCCCAAGTGGCCTCCAAGATGGCCCCTAGAGGGCCCCAAGAGGGCCCAAGAGGCCTCCAACACGCCCAAGATGGCCTCCAAGACGCCCAAGATGGCCTCCAAGACGGCCCTGGAGCGCCCCAAGAGGGTCCCCCGTTGGCCCAGAAAGGCCCCCAAAACGGCTCCCGACGGCGTCAGACGTGCCAGGAACCCACCAAGATGGCCGAAGTTGGCTCGAAGCTGGCCCAAAAGGGCCCAAGAGGCCCCCAAGAGGGCCTCCAGGAAGGCCAAAAGATGCCAAAATCACTGATTTTCCCAAGGTTTTTGATGGATTTGGGCATTTCCCTTTTTTCGGCCTTCCGACGGCCCGAGACGGCCCAAGAGCCCCCAAAGATCGCCGAAAGATCGCCCAAGAGGCCTCCAAGACGGCGACGATGACCATCAAGACGCCCACGTGTTCCCCGAAGGCTTTCCAAACCGATTCGGGGAACACATGGTCCGATGGCTTGGCAGGTCTGGCCTCAACGTTCGGCCACATAGGCGCTTCCACAAAGGCAGGGGGCGGCGGTGATTCGCCGTAGGCGTCTTCGATAAATGCGGACTGAGAGGGGGAAGGAAGGGAAAAGAGAGGAGGGACGAGGGCGAAGGATGATCACATCAGTCCGAGCACCCCGGATCGGCGGCACTGGCCGAAGGCCACTACAATAATGAGTTACCCCCTGGTGGGGTGGAAGGTTCTAGAGACCCTTCGCGGTTCAGGTGCCTTTCTTTTCGTCGCTTGTGTCTCGAAGGGCGAACGACAACCGCATGAGCACGATTTTTCGGAGGTCCGCGCGGATTTCTGGGATATCGGCGTGTCTCGGGGCCGTTCTGGGCCAGCGGGGCCCTGATGGACCTGCAGGAGGCGCGGGGCTCACGTGTGGCGACAGTCGGACCGAGGCATAAGGGCGAGGTCGGTTCGGGGAGGGTGCCCTGGTGTTCTCCGTGCTTGCTGGATGTTCTCGTGCACCCTGAGGGTGTCGCCCTCGGGAGTCCTGTGTGCTCTGGCCGGCGGAGGGTCTCATGTTCTTGCGGGATGCTTTTCTGGCCTAGGTCCGACTGTACCTCGGGGGCACTGCTACGTTCGGGTATAGCCAGGACCCCGGGTAAGGGGACCCGGTTAGTGCTAGGGCCCTGGGGCCCCTCAATTGGCCAAATTCATTAAACCAGGTTTGCCGTAACTGGTGTTTTTCGGGTGACTGCAGTTCCGGTTAGCAGAACGGGGCGGGGGGGGCGCCCCTGGGTACACAACACTAAACCAGGTTCCACTAAACCCAGTTCTGCCAACGCCCGATACGTGGGGACGGGCCCAGGGGGTGGGAGGCATTTTCCAATCGCCCACTCATCGCCGAGAAGGGGCCCGATAGGCCCCGCCCCCGCCCCGGAGCGTCCGGGTGCGCGCGTTGCGGCCGATCGCCGATCTGTCGGCGAGGCGTCGCCGATTCGAGTTCGATGCTCTTCCCCTTGAGCCGGCCCCTCAGGTTCTCGAGTGGCTGCCCCTCTCTCGGGGATTGCAGAAGGTACCCCTGGCCCCAGGTGCCCCCAGCTTTTCGCTCAATCTTGGAGGCCTTTGGGCCCTCTCCCGGCCTCGTGAAGGGTGCTCTGGAGGCCGTGGGGGCCTCCTTGGAAATCCTGGGGGCAGCTTGAGCCGGGGGCACTTGGCCGACTCTCCCCGTCGTCCCCTGGCGGCGAGCCTGGGGGGTAAGTGAGAAGGGGCGGGCCTTCTCAGCAGTCTCGGACGTCTCCCTGCCTTCTGAGAAGTTTTCTGGGCCTTCCCCGGAAAAAAGTTTCTGGGCCTTCCCCGAAGACGCAGAACACTCCTCAGAAGGCGCGAGGGCTTCTGAGAAACCCCGCCGCCTTCTCAGAAGGCCTTCTCCCTCTCCCTTCCCCCCCCGTCCGCCGCCCAATTCCCGTCCGAAGCGCCGCGCGGTGTCTCCGCGAGGATTCCAGTCCCGCCCTCTGCGCGGCCCGTCGTTCTCCCTGCACCAGGTCCGTCGGAGGCGAGGCCGCGGGCGCGGCCCTGGCCGCGGCCCTGCGGCCTGTGAGCGGGCGCGGGCCGCCGCGAGGGCCGTCGGGGGCGGGGTGGCGCTGCTGCTGGGGCGCTCGCGGGCGGGGGTGCGGCGGGTGCTGGTGCCAGATGGAGCAGGACCGCCGCATGCGCGGGTGTCATCGTGGAACAAAAGAACAGCGATCCGTAGGTTCTTGGGCGGAGGGGGGAGGGTGGAACTGGGCGGGCTGGTCCTCGTCCTCTGGAGTGCCCGACCGGAGTGCCGTATGGCAGAGCTATTATTACTACTTGCGTTGCCGTTCCCCCAAGGGCCGGCCGGCCTTGGGGGGGTGATCGAACTGGTGAGCAAGGTGGGTGTTACCGCTGGCTGGGTTAATGGAGGTAGCGATGGCAGAAGAATAAAGAAGAGCGAGGAAAGAGGGAAAGGATGTTGTCCTCCTCTTCCCCCTCCTCCTTTCCCTCGCCCTCGCCCCCCTGCTGCCACCCCTCTGGTCCTCGCGCGGTCGCCTGCCTTCGCCTGGCGGGGTTGCCGTAGCCCGGCCGCCCGCGGGCCCCAGGATTCGTCGACCGCCCACTCCACCGGGGCAGCTCTTCGCCCGCGGTTGTCGGAGGGGGGGGGGTGCCACCAGCGCCACCAGAGGACCACCTCCTGCGATGAGGTCCACGATGCCTCCCCGAGCTGGAGGCCAGGGATGCCTCGAGCGAGAGGGGGGACCACGCCACCAGGGAGACCCCCTGTGCTCCTTTCATGTCTTCGCCGTGTGGCATTGGTGTCGCCACTCCTCGTTCCTATCCTGCGCCCGTTCGGGCTGGAACGCGCAGGGGCAATGATGAGGGCGGACCGGCACGACTAGATGGGGGGGCACCGCGTCCTTGCGAAGTGCGGAGTTCCGAGGTTTTGGGGCGGTTTCGTGGGTTCCCAGACGCTTTCCAGCCTCGCGATGCTCTCCAGCAGCTGCACCTTCCCAAGGGCTGTCGGGGGGGGGCCAGGATTGTTCCCGACGGCTGCCAGGCGCCCGCATTATGGCCCGACTACCACAAGGGGCAACGCTCGGGGGGGATAGGCGCGCAGGGGGGGGGGCGCATCGACCCCCAATCGCCCACTGATCGCCGATAAGGGGCCCGATAGCTCCACCCAGCCCAGAAGCGTGTGGATTCGTTTTCGGGGAGGGCCTACCGCCAATCAGTTTGGATGTTTTTCCGATTCCAGGTCGGCGTTTCCCCCTTATCGTTGCCCCTCGTGGAGCATCGAAACTCCAAGGAGGAGAAAGGTACCGATACCGCTACATTCGCCCCGTTTTCCCATGTGTGGGGCCTCCTGGAGGCTCCTCGTCGCCACGGCTGGATTCACTTCGAAATTCAAGTCGAAACGCACCCCAGGAGAGGTCCAGGGAACAGCGGCATGGGTACCTTTTTGGTTTCCCCAACGGACTGGAAAACGGGACGGCCTTCAATTGATGGGCTGATTTCACACCACCACCACCATAGGCACGACACAGGGGAAAGGGTGGATGGGGAGGTCCTCCTCCTCCTCCTCCTCCTCCTTTTCGTCCTCTTCCTCCTTCTCCTCCTCCTCCTCCTCCTCCTCCTTATTCGTCCTTCTCACCCTCAACCTCCTCCTCCTCCTCCTCCTCCTCCTCCTCCGCCCATCATCAATTCGGGACGATCGAGACAGGCACAGAAATAGTGGGAACAACGGCCCACAGCATGTCCTTCCTCTCCTGCGCAAGGTTCGGCGCCGGTGCCGCTTCGGACGTGGCCCGCTCTTGGGGCAGGAGTCCGCCCGCCGAATGGCCGCCGCTGCCGGCTCTGGACGGGATGTCTTGTTGGGGTTCGCAGTGTTTTTGTTCCGTACGTGCCCATGTCGAGCGGGCCATCGAGTACAAAAGAACCCGTAACCGTAGTAACGCGAAGAAGACGTGGCCTCATTTAGGCACCGCCTTTGCATCAGGGATCATAGATCTGGGCGGCTTGGTCTGACAGATCAACAGAAAAGGCTCCCTTATCCCTAATGCTTATGGCCCTCCTAACTCAGATCCCCTCCCAAAGGGTCTGGGGTACTTTACTGTTTATTTACGGGCGTGCAAACCAGCTGGCCACCTCGCCGATCCTGGCTGGCCCTGGGCCAAGCCAGGACTTGGCCCGGCCGTGCTCGGTGAGCTGGTCAGCTGACGTCCTTCGAGAAAACAGCCAGTGGAGGCCCAACATATCGAGGAACACTCCGATGCGATGGAACACATCACATCGCCAGAAGTCCTCCTCGATCCTCCATGCTCCTCCTCCGCCTCCTCCTCCTCCGCCTCCTCCTCCTCCTCCTCCTCCTCCTCATCCTCCTCCTCCTCCTCCTCCTCCTCCTCCTCCTCCTCCTCCTCCTCCTCCTCCTCCTCCTCCTCCCCCCCCTCCTCCTCGATTCTCGATCCTCGATCCCCGTCGGCCTCCTCGACCTCAGATCCTCGACCATCGTACTCTTGCTCCCCGACCCTCGATCCTGCTCCTCGGCCCTCATCCTCTCCTCCTCCTCGATCCTCCTCCTCATCCTCGAGCCTCGATCCTCCTCCTCATCCTCGAGCCTCGATCCTGCTCCTCGGCCCTCCTCTCCTCCTCCTCGATCCTCCTCCTCATCCTCGAGCCTCGATCCACGACGGGGGCCCGGCCGCCTCGCCCGCCCGTGCGGGCACCCCGCCCGCCGCGCGGCGACCCCCCCCGCGAGAGGCAGAAGCAGATGGACAGCGCCGTGCGCCTCGCGAACGCCTCGGAGAGGCGGGGCGGCGCCGGGCTCCCCCCGCGCCCGAGAGGGGGGCGCAGGCGGGATCGCAATTCATCGTCGATTCCCAGGAAAATATAGGGAAGATATGGGAAGTGGGGGGGGAGACAAAATCCCAGAAACTATGGGAAAAGATTGGGAGTCCTAGTATTTGTGTGTATTTATGTGTGCGTCCCAGTTCCCCTTCAAAGAGGGGAGGGCACTCACCGCGGGAAGGAGCTTGGCCTCGCTCGGACGTGTGCATTTTTTTCTCGGCGAGAACCATCGAGGGCCATCCTGGGCCATCTTGTAACAAAAACAAAAAACACGCACGAGACCGAAAAGTGCACGGGACATGCACGTCCGAGCGATGGAAAGTCCATCCCTTGTCCTGAGGACTGACTTCTCCCTGTCGCGCCCCGAGGCCAGTTTCTAGGGCGGGCCAGGCGTTTCGCCCGAGACCGCTTCAACACTCTAGCGACGCGCACATTCGTCTTAAACATCTGTGCAACAGTTTCACAGGTGGAGGGCCGGGCGCTTTCCAAATGTGGCTCTTGCCGTAGCGCTGCGCACAATCGTCCTAAACAAGTTGCAAGAGTTTCGAAGATTGAGGGCGGGCCGTTCTCGAAATGTGGTTTTCGCCTTAGCGTCGCGCGCATTCGTTCGAAGCATTTGCAAGAACTTCACGATTTGAGGGCGTCCGTTTTCAGAATATGGTTCTCGCATTAGCGCCGCGCGGATTCCCACAATCAGGGGCAGGGGCTTTGCGGATTCTCATAATCAGCGTACCAGGCATGGTGTTTTGGAAGGGTTCGGGTTTTTGAGTGTGCAACAGTCTAGTTGATTCGCGGTGTTGAAGTCCCAGGAATGGCGTTCTGGCACGACTCAGGATCGTCAAGACGCAACAGTCAGGTTGATCCGTGGTGCTGGAATCCCGAGAACATGTTTCGGCATGTTTCAGGGTTTTCAAACGATTGTCTTCCAACCCGGCAGTTCTATCAGTGGGAGTGAGCTGTTGCTGGGGTCGATGAGGAAGGAACTTGGAGCGAGGGATTCCTCCAACATCGTTGATGACTCTTGGGTTTACACTGGTCCTCCTCCTCCTCCTTTTTCTCCTCCTCTTCTTCCTCTTCCTCCTCCTCCTCCTTTTTCTCCTCCTCTGCCTCTTCCTCCTCCTCCTCTTCCTCCTCCTCTTTCTGCTCCTCCGCATCCATTATGGCTCAAGCCTTGAGCTGGCACAGGGGATTCGCGGCCCCTCCCGCGTCCTGCAGGGCGTTCGCCCGCCCTGCAGTGGCCAGGGCCGGCAGGGTCATCCCGCAGGGGCCAGAGTAAAGCGGAACGCGCCGCTCGTCCTCCTCGATGCTCCTCCTCGATCCTCGATCCTCCTCGACCTTCGATCCTCGATCCTCCTCGGTGCTCCGTCCTCGATCGCGGCCACTTCGTCGCAGGTCCGCCTCGATTCTCGATCCTCCTCCTCTTTTTCAACTCTTCCTTGTGGATCCTCGATGCTCCATTCTGGATCCTTGATCCTACTCCTGGCGCTGGCGCTGCGAGCGTCAGACTCCTCTGGGGACGCTGCCTGGGGTTGATCAAAGAGAGCTTGTAGAAGAATCAAAAGGGGCCGCCAACGTGGCACAAGGGGGAGGCCCCCCCCCCGGGGCAAGGTAGCCATTTTGCCCAGCGGCCCGGGGGGGAGGGGGGCAGGAGAGGGGGCGACGGAACGGCGGAGACGACACTGCGACCAAGCTATGAGAGAAAGGGAGCGGATAGAGAGAGAGAGAGAGGCAGAGGATTTTTTTTTTCCCACTGTTACTCTAAACGAGTTTTGAACCCAACAAACAATCATGACGTCCGCCTGGGCCCCCGTCGGACGAACGGAGATGCGAGCGCAGTGGCGCGCGCGGTCGCGCGCAACCCGCCGCTGGAAATAACGCGAATGCGTGGGCGCCGACGGCGGCAACGGCGACGGCGGCGACGACGAACATTGCGGCGACGGCGGCGACGGGGCCCAGGCCCACAGGCGAACTTGCGCCTCGCCCTCGCTCCCGGAGTCCCGGGCCAGATTTTATAGGAGGGACGAAATTTCTGCGCGCAAATTGCCCCAGCTGTTCCTCAGCTTTACTAAAGCTCTTTCGTTTCGCTTTAGTGCAACGTCGTTGTTTTCCGGAATGTATCGACAGGCGCGCTTTTACTCATGTCGATCCCTCGCTTCAGTAAAGCCGCTTCCTCGCTTTAGTAAAACCGCTTCCTCGCCTTAGTAAAGCCGCTTCCTCGCTTTAGAAAGTCCGCGGTCTGCCTCAATAAAGCCTTGGGGATGCGGTGGTGATGCGGGGCTGGGGCCCGGTCGGGGGGCGGGGGGGCCCTGTTTTTCCTGCCGGTTCACCCCGCGATGCACTTGCTCGGGCAATCCGGGTCGCGTTACATCGGGTCGCGGCGACCCTTGGATATGTTTTCAGCGAGTTGCAGATGCTGTTTGACAGAAGATTCAGGGCGCGAGCGCAGGACGTGGTTCGGCAATTCGGACGCGCCGCCGCCGTTGTCGCGCACCAGAGCAAAAACACTGTACTAAAAGGCTTGTTTCCTCTAGCAGATAGCTCCTTCAAGGCAATCGTTTGAACTTACCGCTTCCAAGAGAGAGAGAGAGAGTGAGAGAGAGAGAGGGAGGGGTATCCTCCTCCTGCGTTTTTCAATGCGGGGTCCGCGGAAGTCCCGACCGTTTCCCCAGGGCCCGCTTCTCGCCTCGAGATCCTGACGACCCCAGAGCCCGGCGAGGGCCTCCAGAGGCCGAGCGCTGCCCAAAGCCCTTGTGCGTGCCGATTGCGTGCAGCGCGCTGGATCTCCAGGGTCCTGGGCTTCTTTCTCCTCCCCGCCTCCGGGCCCGAGGCGGCGGAAGCAGCTGGAGACGTGGCAGGAGCGGCTGCAGCAGGAGATCGAGGAGAAGGAGCGGCTCGCCTCGCAGCGGCGCAGGCGCGGGGCGCGGGCGCCGGCCGCCCTCCTCGGGGCCCACTTCGGCCCCGGGGACGATTGTTCTTACTCTTCGGACTATGTTTGGACATTTGTTGACTGAGTTTTTTCCGAAGCCCACCTGTAGGTGGACATGTCCGACTTAAACAGAAGGCCCAGCGCGGTCCTAGAGAACCAGCGCGCCCAGGAGGGGATGGGGAATTTCAAGGGGTGTTCACGGTTCGGTCAGTTCGGTTGCGTCGCAGTCGGTTGCGTTCGGTTGGTTCGGTTCTGTCGGTAGTTGTGGCGTCGCCGCGTCGCTGCGCTCTTCCAGGCTGCCTTCGGCCTGTCGACTTCGGTCGTTTTCGGTTCCGCTGTCCGTTTGGTCGGTCTTTTGTTTTGCTGCCGCCGTGCACGACCTTGGAGTTTGAGGTGGAGGAGGTTCCTGAGATCCGGGCGTTGCGTTTCCTTCGAACTTGGCGTTGTCTCGCACATATCGATCCAGCCTGAAGAATACGGCAGGGTATGGAACGCCTGTCTTGATTGTGTGAGATGTTGTATCTGTCTGCAGCGTCGGATCTCAGGATCGTTGGCTCCTGCAGCCGTGCCTCGCCAATGGCGTTTCGGGGGTACCCAGGTTGCCCCGAACGGCCGCCACTGACCCGAGCTGTTGCCCGAAACCCGATTGACAACAAGCCAGATTCCGCCTTTGGTCCAGCCGATCCGATTCGATGTCGACTCCGGCCGGGATCAAAATACGATGTCGGCCAAGGGTCTAAGAGCCACTAACTACTTGACTAAGAAACCCCGAAACCCCTAAGAACTAAGATTGCAGGGAAGATCCAAAAGTTAATGCCCGCAGTGTCCTGCTTGGCAGCAAGAATCGACATTCGATGTCGATTCCGATTGCTGTGGCGATATCCCGACGATCCGATGCCGCGCGATCCAACGCACATCCCGAGGCGATCCGGCTTCCCCGCTCGATGCTGACTGGGCCTGCCCTCGAGGCCCCTCTCGCTCCCTTCGGCCGGACGCCGTCAGGCCCCCCCTCTTGGCGGCGCCCATAAAAAAAGGGGCGGCGCGAGGGGGTGGGCGTCTAGGAAGGCGGAGGAGCCTCTCAGAATTGAAGGGGCCCTAGGACGCACAAATAAATACACACAAATGAAAAGATTCCCCATATTTTCCTACATTTTCTGGGTTTTTGTCTTCCCCCCCACTTCCCATATTTTCCGATATTTTCTGGGGGATCGAAGATTATTTGTGTCTATGTGTTTTTCCCCCTCCTGAAGAATGCCCTGGAGGCTTCCACGAGGGCCTCCTACTCAGCAGCTGGGCGGCCTCGAGGAAGCCGCCCCCCTGCCTACTTCGGCGCCCCGCCGCCCCTGTAGGAGCCAGGAGGGGAAGAAACACACAGACACCATTCATCGATGATTCTGCAGAAAATATGGGAAAATGTGGGAAGTGGGGGGGAAGACAAAAACCCAGAAAATGTAGGAAAATATGGGGAATCTTTTCATTTGTGTGTATCTATTTGTGTGTCCCAGGGCCCCCTCGAGGAGCCCTGCCCCCCCCGCCGCGCCGCTCCCTCGTGGGCGCCGCGGGCCCTCGAGGGCGGGCCTCGCCCTCGGTGCGCCCCGCCGCCGGCGGGAGAGCCGGCAGAAGTACGAGGCGGCGGCGGGTCTGCCCTCTCATGCTGGCGGGAGGCCAGCGCCTCCTCCGCCTCCGACTCCTCCTCCGCCCCCGCCTCCGCCTCCGCCTCCGCCTCCGCCTCCTCCCCCGCCTCCGCCTCCGCCTCCGCCTCCTCCTCCGCCTCCGCCTCCGCCTCCGCCTCCTCCGCCTACTCCTCCTAGGTGGGCGGGCGGGAAAGTGAGGCGCCAGCATGTTTGGACCCAAGAGTTTTCCGAGCCGACCGCCCCGCCGGCATATCCACCTCCCGGGGGACCGATCTTCCTGTAATTACTCTCGGGAGGTTGTGGATGTGGATTCGTTCGGGCTCCCCGGGGCCCGACGATATCGACATCCATTGCCCCCCCACCCAGGTCGTGCTGCCACTGCAATTCGCATCATCGCCATTCGCATTCATACTTCTGAGGCGGCTTTTGCCAAACTTGCAACAACCAGTAGTGACTCATTCCACGGCAGCTATGATCCATATACCGACCGTGATCAGTACAATCATGACGATAAGTACTACAAAGCTGTGTCACCGGTCATCACGCCTGTATTCATATTTCGAGTACAGTTGCGCCTGATATAGTTCTCGTTATTACACGTGCGATCGCATGTTTATCTCCATGCTGGTACACACGATCACAACTGACAGTATGAGTGTCTCGCGCACTTCCTGCGACTGCTACTGCTAGCACTGCTGAACAAGCAGGGGTCGTAGACGCAATCGTTGCTTCAGGGTCCCTAGCCGCTGTTGAGCTCAACGATTCTGGTTTGGACTCCATTTTGATCATATTGGAAGGGGTGTGGGGATTTTTGACTTCGTCGCGGAAGTTCGCAGGCCTCGCCGAGTTTAGACGTTGCGTTGGCGAGTTCGTTTGTCGCCAGGGCCTGGTCCGATCCTGAGAACGCCGACGCAGTCCCGAGATTTTCTCAGACGCCACCTTGGCTTGCAGTTTCACTCCTGTTGTGTAGAGGGGCCCACTGTGCAGCAAAGAGCGGCGCCAAGTGAGCGCATCCATTCGATCAAGGTGAAAAGCCAGGACCAAGAGAGCCGCTCGGAGCAGGCGCTCTCCAAGCGGCGGGAGCAGCAGAAGCAGGACCGACTTCGCCACGCACCCGGCCAGAAATGTAGAGTTGAAGCATCGGTGACAGATGGAGAGCACATTGGTTGTGGACTTGAGTTGAGAGGGACAGTCGGGTCCGTCCCGAATTGCCGCTTGGAGCAGCAGTGAACTGGGGGACGATTTCGACGGCGACATCGATCACGTTCTCGTAGGAGCAGGGGACGTTGGGGCGCGCAGATACTCAACGTGGCGATCGGACGGAAGGGATTCATGCACGGAGAGCAGCAGGAGGGGTGGTGGTGGTTTTAGGGTCGGCACGTTCTGTCACGTCTTGAATGGCCGACTGTGCACACACTCGGGTTGCGAGGTGTAGGTGTGTGTGTGTGTGTGTCTGCGTGCAGCCATACAACGCTTTACTGGTAAAACGCACTCAGTAGTATGATGACGGTTGAGCTCATTTTCTTATTGGAGGGATGTTGATGTTGACGTTGTGGATGCTCCGCAACCACAACCTCCTAGGAGGAGGAGGAGGAGAAGGCGGAGGAGGAGGAGGAGGAGGAGGAGGAGGAGGAGGAGGGAGGAGGAGGGAGGAGGAGGGAGGAGGAGGAGAAGGAGGAGGAGGAGGGAGGAGGAGGAGGAGGAGGGAGGAGGAGGAGGAGGGAGGAGGAGAGGGAGAAGGAGGAGGAGGGAGGAGGAGGGAGGAGGAGGAGGAGGAGAGGAGGAGGAGGGGGAGGAGAAGGAGGAGGCGGCGGATGAGGAGGAGGGAGGCGGAGGAGGAGGCGGAGGAGGAGGAGGCGGCGGGAGGAGGAGGAGGCGGGAGGGAGGGGGCCGCGCGCACGTGCGCTGCCCACGCAAGGTCGCGCGGGGGCGGCCCGCGCCAGGTCGCGCAGGCGGCGCCCGCGCTCCGTCCGCGGCGCTCCGCGCCGCTTGGCGGCCAGCGCACGCCACCGAGAGGAGGTCGCGCGGTGCCCTCTCGCGTGCGGCCTGCTCTCCCGCTCGCTCGTCAACGGCTTCCCGAACTCTCGGGAGCGGAAAAGAGGGGGGTGATGACCAGGGGGGGTGGATTTCATGGCGAGGGCCATGATTTCTCCTCAGATTTCATGGCGCCTCTTCTTATTTCATCACGTCCCTGGCCCCCCCGCGGAGCCGCGCACATGCCGCCGGTCATGATTTGCACCCCCTCTCTTGGACACCCCCCTCTTGGCCGCTCCCGAGACTCTGGCCACGCCCCCACTGTGAACACTACCGGACCGCGGAGGAAGAAGACGACAGACAGTTACGCCATGAGCATCGACGTTCGACCATCCACGCGGACCTCTGGGATCTGGCACTGGCCCCCCCCCCCTTCCTGGAGCGCGGAGCGCGCCAGGGGCGGCGCCAGAGGCGCCGCCAGGGCGGCTCAGCGCCGATCCAGGAAATCCGCGCAAAACTAACGACGCCCCGATCTTTTTTGCTCGAGGCGCGGTGCCCGGGTGTCCCGGCCCTCTTCCCTCGGGCGGGCGGGAACGGGGGGCGGCCCAAGTGGGGGGTTAAGATCGGGCCGGACGAACGGGGGGGATTGGGAAAGGGGGGGTACCAAATTTGCTGCATGGGGCTGGTTTCGGCCTCACCGAGGGGCCCATTCCTCGATACATAGCCGCCTCCGGCGCCGGGAGGCGCCAGGAAAATCAGCTATACGTGAGCTGATTCTCCCCCCCCCCCCTTTGCTATCCCCCCCTTTCGCCCGACCCGATAAGAAAAGGGCCCCTGTTGAAGCCAGCAGGTGCCCAAATGAGGCCCGAAAGGGCCCCTTGTGGGCCTTTTTGTTCGCCCCCCGCGTGGGTCGCCCTCCATTGCCGCCCGCCCAGGCCCCCGTGGCCGGCTCTTGCCCCCGGAGTCGTTCTCAGACGGCTCGGGGGGCCTGGCGAGGGCCCTCCCGGCGGAGAAGTCACTGGAGAGCTTCCCGCCGTCCTGTTTTGCTTCGCATTCGCTCTGCGAGCATGCCTGGATGTCTTTTCGTCGCGCCTGGGGGGTGAAGTGAGCAGGAGCCTGCCCTCGCAGAAGGCGGCTCGGCTTTTCACGAGCCCTCCGGCCTCCCGAGCCTTCCGAGCAGGGCCGCCATTTCCCGCTTCCCTCTAGGTTAGGCTTCAGTCGGACCTGTCCCTCTACAGGGGGAATATTCCAAAATAGTTAAAAAAATAGTCTGGGGCGTATGTTTGGAGTACTTTGGGGCATCTTGGTGTTTTCGTTTGCGTATTTTTTATGTTTCGTCGAAAATCCCCCTGTGAGGGACGCGCCCGACTTAACTCTAGGCCTCCCAGATGGGGTCCGAGCACATGGAGTCGGAGGATCGCGCCGCATCGCCGATGAATCGGCGATGCGGCTCGATGTGGGGCCCGATTTGCTTCACGTCGGCTTCGCCGATGCATCGCTTACATCGACGATGCGTCCCGGTGCATCGCCGATGCATGCATCGGCGATCCGGCGCGATCCTCTTTACCCCTTTCTACTCGGACCCCATGTAGGAGGCCTCTATTGCCCCCCTCGCTCGCCGCCGACAGCTACAGTCGAGGCTGATCAGCAGGTCGACCCCGCCAAAGCAAGGATGCCCTCTTGTCCTGGGCTCCGCGACCCGTGCCTTTACACTCCCATGTTTTCGTTGCATCTTCGGGAGACCTCGCCTGTCCCAAAAACATTGTATCTTTTCTTGTGTCCGACGCGGGCTCGATGCGGACTCGGCGCGGACTTGACGTAGATTCGACGCGAATTTGGCACGGACTCGTCACGGATCCGACGAGTCCGGCATGGATTCGACACGGATTCGACGCGGACACGGACGCGACGGGACAGGCAAGGTCCCCCGAGGATGCAACATAACCATGGCAATGTGACCTTGGGAAGGGTCTTCTGTCCCCGCGCGTGTCCTCTACAATCAACCTTGACTGTCCGACGTCCCGATTCTTCCAGAAGCGCCCCCCTGGGCGTCCCGACCCTTTCCCTGGGACCGGTTTTTCATCCTGAGTCGTTTTTTGACGGCCCCGGGCCCTGGCCAGGGCCCCGAGCGGCCGAAGATGGTCCAACACCTCCCGCCGTGATTTTTGTTTACGACGCGATCGTGTCTGGGTCGACCGTATGCCCAGGGCGTTTTCGGGATGCGCTCCGTCGAGGCCGACCCGTCGCGACCGGTCGCGGCCGAAAAAATACGCATAAGTAGCCAATGATCCGGGCGTGCCGGGCCCTAGAGCGGGTCGCTGGGCGCGGCCCAGGATCCCGAGAGCCGGCGTATTGAGCGACTGCACGCAAGAGCGACCCTTCGCCGGGGGGGACCTCTGGTGCGGGCCCATGGTGGCCCCCCGATCGCCGAGTGCGCTGCGATAAGAGCGTCTTGCGCGCTTGAGTTTGGTCCCCCCAGTGAGCCGCGCACCAGAGGTCACTCTTGCCCAGGGTCACTCCTGCGTGCAGCCGAATTGAGTACATCGGGCCAGAGGGTTTTCGCCGTCTTCGGCCACTGGAGGCCCTCACCGGGACCCGGGGCCGTCAGAAGGCGGTTCGGGAGGACGAGACTGCCCTTGGGAGGGGGTCGGGCTTACCGGGGACCCCGACGTGAGAAAGTCACGGACATCGGACTCCGGACACCCGAGACGGGTACGGGCTTCACATCGAGCCGCATCGCCGACGCACTGGCGATGCGGCGCGATCCTCCGACCGCATCGGCTCGGACCCCATCGGGGAGGCGCAGGAGAGCGAGTTGGCGGCGCGCCCAGGGTGGAAGGGAGATCTGGCGGCCAGAAATGGGCACGAACAGCAAAGTGGGGCACGGTTCCCGGCAACAGATGCTGTCCAAGACCGACAGCGGCTGCTGCTTGGCAGCGGCCTCTCGTCTCCGGTGGGCGGAGTCCGCGGCAGCGCCGCGGCAGCGATCCCTTGCTCGAAATGGGCAGGCCCCATTAGGGGGCCACATGCGAACCCTCGTCGTCCCCATTAGGGGGCCACATGCGAACCTTACCCCTACCCCCCACGATTTCTTCACTTCGTTCGGGACCTCCCGAGCGAAGTCAACCCCACCCTCCCCCTCAGAAATCGTGGGGGGCAGGGGTAGGGTTCGCATGTGGCCCCCTGCCCATTCCTTCCCTACCCCACCCGATGGCACCGAAGGACGAGCGCGACTCCCAGAGCTTCCTGCTCTTCCGCGCCAAGAACATCGGCCGCCTGGCCCTCAACTGCGACGGGCTGCCCGACGCCATCCGGGAGGAGGCCCCTGGCGGCCGCCGCGCCCCCGTGCCGCCCCGGCCTTGTTTTGGCTCTGCTCTCCTCGCAGCTCCCGTCGCTTGCCGCTGTCGCTTGCCGCCGCCGTCGTCCCCAGACCCCCTCGAGTTCTGAAAAAATCACGACGGGAGGTTTTTCACTATTTTTGGCCTTCGGGGGCCCTCACCAGCCCTCGGGACCGTCAAACAACGACTCATGACGAAAAACCGGTCCCGGGGAATGGGTCGAGACCTCGGGGGGTCGACGTCATGAAAAATATCATGACGTCGGGGGTCTGGGTCCCATGCCTCTCGCCCGCTGCCGTCGCCTCCGCGCCTTCCGGGCCAGCGTGCGCGCAGTGCGCGCCGCTCGCGAGGCATCCAGGCTCGCAGGTGTCGTGCGGAGAGTCACCAGCCGAGAGCCCGATGGTTTTTTGCCGCGCCCCTCCTCCCTCATCCGCACCTCCTGGGGGCCAGAGGAAATTTTGAGGGAGGAGGTCGTGGTGGCGTCGTTGCCGAGTAGCAGATGCGCAGCCCGTATGCGGCGCCGCCCCTGTCCTTACTTGTTGCTGTTTCCCTGAGGGCGGGCGTTTGCGAGAGCTTCTCGTCACTGCCGGCCGCGGCTCGAGGATCCTGTCGGAACAGTATTCGGGAATGATCAGCGCCCATACCTAAAATCGCAGAAGAAAAGCCAGCGACATAAAACAACGTTCGACGGTCCGCGCGGATGTCTTGGATCGGCGCTGTCCCCACCCCCAGCGGTGCCTCAGGGCGCGCGGAGCGCGCCGGGGAGGGGGATCCAGCGCCGATCCAAACAAGTCGTGCAGATTTCGAACGTGTACGTTCAAGTTCTCGGTTGCCCTGAACAAGAGAAGGTCCTCGATGAGGCGTGGAAGGCCGACCCACCCTGGGTAGAAGTGCGGCGCTGGATGCGCGTACACCGTTGCCGTCTCGCGGGTCGGTGATGTCGAGATTTTGCAGGGGGAGGGTCAATGAGGAGGAGAGGTGAAATATAATGAGGAAGGTGATGATGATGATGAGGAGGAGGAGGACGAGGAGGGGAGAGCAGAGCGGAAAGAGGATGAGTAACACGCTATGTGCGCTGGCTTCATACTTGACATCCTATCAGATTCCTCCATTGTATCCCTTGTCATTGCGCTCAAGTTTCTTTTATCCGCGGACGCGTTTCAATAGCCGACCTGGGTCTCCAAGGACGGCTCCGCCATGTTCTGCGCAGTCGAAGAAGGGGAGTTGCGTACGTAGGAGGAGGAGGAGGAGGAGGAGGAGGAGGAGGAGGAGGAGGAGGGCGAGGAGGAGGAGGAGGAGGTGGTGGGTGAGCAGACGGATGAATATGAGGACAATGGGGGGTGGCACGGAGAAGGATGACGAGGACGAACGGCGGCAGCAGCAGCAGCAGAGCAGGAGGACCAGGGGAATGCAGAGGAGGGGGAATGAGGGGGGTGACAATGATAAACGTGGATGCGGATCCAGAGACGTGCTTCGCACTTGGACGAGAGCGCCATTCTGAACGACGGGGGCGAAGCGCCGCTCCGAAATTTAGGCCCATGCTGCAGCGGGAACATCAGTTTGAAGATACGAGGACAATCGGATTGCACACACGCACACACACACACACACGTGCAAGCAACTCGGCCCAATCCTCCATGCACAGACCGATACGCGGAGGGGGAGATGTCTTCCGCACGGAGCCTGGTGAGGGAGTAGAGTCGTATTCGTTGTGTGTAATTGTTGAGCGACAGGCTACTGGGTGCGCTCGCGCCATGTCTGACATCCTAACCCTTCCACCCATCCCTTCCCACTGCGCTGTTTTTTCTCTGCCCGCCGTCGCGCACCACAACGGACCTGGAGTTCCCAAAAAGGACCCCATCGTGCCATCAGCGATCGAGAAAGGGAAACTGCGTACATTGACGGAGGAGGTGGCGGATAAGCAGGAGGATTAGCAGGAGGAGGGAGAGGAGGAGGAGGAGCAGGAGGAGGAGGAGGAGGAGGAGGAGGAGGAAAGACGAGGACGAGGAAGAACAGCAGCATCATGATCTGGAGTGGGAGAAGCGGGAGAAGCAGGATGATCAGGAAAAGGCTGCGGAAGGAAAAGCGGAAGGATGATCAGGGAAAGGCTGCGGAAGAAGCTCTCCGCGGAGGGGGTCGTTCCGTTTTCCAGCCAATTTCAGGGGAGAGATGAGAGGGGAGGGAGGAGAGTGGTACTCAGAAGGAGGGGGAGAAGAGAGAAGAGAGGATCAGCTAGGTGCACCCGCGCCATATCGGACATCCTGCTCCTCCCACCCTCAGCTTCCCACTGCGCTGAAGTATAGCCCTATCAGCAAATCCGGCACATGACCCCTGTTGTGCTATGCGCATTCTGAAACGGAAGCTGTGTACCCGAGGCGGAGGTAGTGCATGAGCAAGAAGGTGAGCAGGAGAAAGATTATGAGGATGAAGATAGGGAGGAGAAGGAGGATGAGGAGGAGGAGGAGGAAGAGGAGGAGGAGGAAGAGGAAAAGAAAAAGGAGGAGGAGGAGGTGGAGGAGGACGAGGAGTAGGAGGAGGAGGAGGAGGAAGAGGAGGAGGAGGAGGAGGAGGAAGATCAGAAGCAATAGGAGCATGACTAGGGAGGGGCCGGAGAAGCGGCGGGACCGGGGAAGGCGGGGAGGGGAGAGGAGGGAGGCGACAACGAGTAAATCGGGCCCGCCCCTCTACAGGAGGAAGATTCAAAAATGGTAAAAATAGTCTTGGGAATATTTTTTTGATCTTTTTTGGGAACTTTTTAAATGTTTAGTCAAACATTCCCCTGTAGGGGGACACGCCCGACTTAAGACAACGAGGAGGAGGGGCTCGAGTCCAGAAGCGCGGTCCGTTCCGGGGCGACGGCGTCCGGCCTGAGCGACTGGAGCAGCGCACCCGGTCCTGGAAGGACACCAGCACTGCAGCGGGAGCACCACTTCCAACACATCTCAGAGTCGCAGGCCTAGAGATTGACACCAACACCAATGTCGGCGCTGTTCCTCCACCGAGGGAAGAAAGATCCCGATCTCGGTGATGGTGGTAATATTTTGGCTTCCAAGATGGCCGAAATATGACCACGAACATCGGAATCTAGGATCATCTCCCCCCTGTGGAGGCAGCCCCCTTGTCTTGGTGTTGGTGCCCATTTCCAGGCCTCCAACAGAGGCTCCGACAGACAGAACAACATGTTAGCACCAGCTGTGAAAACAATCCCACACACCCACCCTACACCCTGAGAGCAAAGAGCATGCGGGAGACATAGGCCACGCTCGGAAATGATCTTGTAAGAGAGGTGTGCAGAATTCATTCTGAGTAGTTGTGGGGAGGAGGAGGAGGAGGAGGAGGAGGAGGAGCAGGAGGAGGCGGCCGCGAAGGAGGAGGAGGAGGAGGAGGAGGAGGAGGAGGAGGAGGATGATGCCGCTTAGGACGATGGAGAGGAGGAGGAGGAGGAGGAGGAGGAGGAGGAGGAGGAGGAGGAGGAGCATCAATGAGAGCTCCAGTGCCTGCCACAGACCTGCCCGCATCTTTCAGGGCCTCGAGGATGAGGCGCGGCTCCCTGGGAGCCAGACCTCTGTCGACATGCTTTCGTCTCCACGTGCCCCCCCCCCCCTGCCAGAGGTCTGGACAGCCTCCCCGGGACCGGGCAGGGCCGAGAGATATCCGGCGGCCTCCAGCGGACCAGTGGGAGGCCCGAGGCCGAAACAAGCGGCAGAGAGCCGGGGAGGCCGCGAGGCGGCGGTGTTGGCCACGCCGCGAGGAGGGCATGGGCCAAGAAGTAAGGCGGGCGTCCCCCTACAGGAGGAAGATTCAAAGATAGTCAACAAAAACAGTCTGGGGACTATTTTTTGGGGGAGTTTTGAGCATGGTTTGGGCATGTTTTGGGTATTCTGTATGTTTCGTCCAAAATCCCCCTGTAGGGGGACAGGCCCGACTTAAGCCAAGAAGCAAGGATCGACCCCTGCACCCGTCGGGATGTGCGCTTGGCTTGGACTGGAACATCGAGGAGAATCCGGCCGTGGCGAACCTCGATCCTCCAGATTCAACCCCAAATCTGGATCCTCGAACTTCGATCCTCCAGCCTTGACCCCCCCGACATCAGCCCGCATGGTTTTTCCAACTCGCGGTCCCAGGGAGGTCCCGACCCCTTCCCTAGTGGTTGTTTGCCGCCCCAGACCAACTTTTCTGGCCCAGGGCCGATGTATCCTCCAGAACCTCCGGATCTCAGCGATCCCCGAAATATCCCGATCCGAATTTCTTGGCTTTGTGTTTTTCTTGGCCTGGAACATGGGGTCTGGGTAGATGGGGTCGGAGGATCGCGCCGCATCGTTGATGCATCGGTGATGCGGCTCGATGCGAATCCCAACTTTCTCAAAATAGGCGTCGCCGAAGCATCGTCGGCGTCGCCGATGCATCGCCGATGCATCGGTGATGCATCGACTATGCGGCGCGATCCTCCGATCCCATCTACTCCGACTCCATAGCTGCTCTGACACGCCCGTGTCGAGACGCAGCATGTACCGTGCTTGAGACGTCCTGGCTCGCGCGCTGCGTCTTGGCGCAAGGTGCCCGCCCACGTTTTGGCGAACGCAGCGCGCCAGACCAACGTTGATTCCAGGGCTGGACCTAAACGGTGTTTTGGCGATTTGGTGGGCCGTTTTCGTTTCGACTTCGTTTTTCGGTAGAGGTGGATTGAAGACAAAACGAAGGAATACGAAAACAAAACGAAAACGAAAATCACCGTTTAGGTTCAGCCCTGGTCTATTCGCTCTTCGTGCTGAACCAGGTGTGAACACGCTGCGGGTTGCGGGTTGGTCGGCGGCGTGCCCGGGGGGAAGTGAGGAGGAGGAGGCCTCCTCGGGCCCTCTCGGGAGGCTCGGAAGTCCCCCGGCCTTCTGGGAAGTTTTCTAAGCCTCCTCCGAAGGCGCAGAACGCTTCTCAGAGGGCGCGAGGTCTTCTGAGAAGCCTCGCCGCCCTCCGAGCAGACCTTCTCTTTCTCGTCCCCCCCCTCGTTCGCCGCTGAGTTGTGCAGCCAGGCAGTCAAGACTCCGACCCCGTCCCGTCCTTCTCCCGCGGGCGTGCTCCAGGGAAGGGGAGAGGAGGCAGGAGGGGGGCGGAGAGGGAGGGCGGCGGAGAGGGAGGAGGAGGAGGAGGCGCGGAGAGGTGGGGAGGGAGGAGGGGAAGGAGGAGGAGGAGGAGGAGGAGGAGGAGGAGGATGAGGAGGAGGAGGAGGAGGAGGAGGAGGAGGAGGGAGAGGTGGGACGCCCTGCCCCAGGTCGTCGAGCTGGGCCAGGCCCTGGCGCCCTCGGCGCAGGGCGGCGCGCGGCGCGGCCGGCAGCGGGACGCGGTCCCAGCGCGCGCGCGGACGCCGCCGCCCGCGCCGGTGCAGTCCCCGAGGAGGGCCCTGCGGCCGCTGCGCCGCTGCGCCTTCCTGCGTCCGCTGCGCCTTCCTGCGTCCGCTGCGCCTTCCTGCGTCTTCGGGCCTGCCTCCTCCCTCGGCCTCCCTGCCTCCCTCCTGCTTTCTCCCTCGTGCTGCCTCCCTCCTGCTTCTCCCTTCTGCTTCCGCCTTCCTACTGTTACTGCGCTTTACTTCTTCCCCTTCCACTGCCACTGCCCCCGATCCTGCTCTTGCCCCTGCCCCCCCTCCTCCTCCCCCTCCTCCTCCTCCTCCTCTCCACCTCCTCCTCCTCTCCTCCTCCTCTCCTCCTCCTCTCCTCCTCCTCCTCCTCCTCCTCCTCCTCCTCCTCCTCCTCCTCCTCCTCCTACTCCCGAAGCGCCTCCAGAAGGCGCGACACGACTACGATCAGGCCATGGAGGAGCTCGTGGACGCCGAGGAGGCCCATGAGGCTGCTGTCCTGGCATACAACCAGTTTCGCTTTCCGACGGCTCCTGAGGTCAAGCATGCTGAGTCTGCGAGTGACTTCTTGGCGCCGTTCGAAGAGAAGCTCAAGAGCATTGCGATTGACGAGTATGAAGATGGAGAAGCAAAGGATAAGTTGCAGACAGCCCTCACGGCCATGGACGACGCCAAGAACAAGGCCACGGAGGTTATCCACGCCGCCCAGACGGCCCTCGAGGGGGTCAAGTTGGCTGCAGCTCAGGCGCCCCTCAAGCGGCGGCGCGTGGAGGAGGTGGTCTCAGCCCCTGAGGCGGCGGCGCCAGGCGGTGCTGCTGAGGGCTCCCCGCGCGTACCTCCGAAGGCTGGAGGCGGCGCCGCGGCGGGCGCCGCTCGCGCTGAGGGAGCCCAGGCGGCGGCCGCGGCCCCTGCCCCAGCTGCCAAGCCCGTTGCAGACAAGGATCGAGCCTCCAAGGTCCAGGCTGCACGCGAACGGCTTGAGAAGTCAGCAGCGAAGGCGAGTCCTGTCGCGAGGTCCTCTGCTGATGTGGGGGTTGCAGCTGCCCCTCCTGGCCCTGGTGGCAGCGGCGACGGCAGCCCTCCACCTCGTGCAAAGGCCCCTCCCCCTAAGAGAGGGTAGCACCACATTGGATGATGTGGACGTCGACCCCTTCGAGGACATGCACTTCAGCGATAATGACGGCTTCGGCTTGGAGCGGGAGCCATCTGGTTCTTCTGCGCCCAGCTCTATGCAGGGCGCACTGGCAGGCAGCTCCCATCTGGCCCGCTCCTCGGGGATGGGATCAGGAGCGAGCTGCATGGCATCTTCAGCGACATCGGAGTTGGCGACCTCTACTTCGGTGTCAGGCAGCCCCCATCTGGCCCGCTCTACGGGGATGGGGACACGCGCGAGATGTGTGGCATCGTCAGCTCCGTTGACGTGGTCTCCGTCCTACTTCGAGAGCAGGCAACCTCCATCTGGCCCGCTCCTCGGGGGTGGAGGCACGAGCGAGTTGTGTGGCATCTTCCGCTCCGTCGAGGTGGGCTCCGTCTACTTCGATTGCAGGCAGCCTCCATCTGGCCCGTTCTTCGGGGATGGAGACAAGTGCGAGCTGCGTGGCATCCTCTGTTCCGTCGAGCTTGGCTCCGTCCACGCCGATGGCAGACAGCCCCCGCGTGGCCCGCTCTTCGGGGATGGAGGTACGGGCGAGCTGTGTGGCGTCCACGGCCCCACGGTCGTTGCCTCCGTCTACTTCGGCGAAGGAGAACCCCCTTCCCCATCGTGCTGTGGCGTCGCTCTTCTTTGCGAATGTCACGGGGTGGGGTCGACGTATCCACAAGTTTGTAGTTGAGAATAAAAATAATTATGGCATGATGGCCTCTGCGGAGACTCATGGCGCCGAGGCGAAGCTTGGACGTTGACGGTTGGAAGTTATCGGCCTGCGTTGCTGTGGGCGCTCGTAGGTCTGCAGCAGGCACGAGTGGAAGGGAGTGGATGTTGGCTCGGTCTCACCCTGCTACCACATCCTTCGATCGGCAGAGGGCGCTCATCACCAAAGAACGCCTGAAGGATCCCTGCCGAGGTTGGGTGCCGACTGCGTGGCATCTGCGCGCAGGCAACCTTGTAGCAATTTCGGCTTATTTCTTGCCCAAGCACGGGTTCAGTGGTGCTAATGTTGACAGGTGGGCTTCTCTGCGATCCTTTTTTTGCCTCAGTTTCTGACCCTTGGATCATTGCTGCGGATTGGAATCTCACCCCGAAGGCTCTTGGGGGCAACTCGTTCCTCAAGGACGTGGGAGGCGCCATCGTCCTCCCTGAGGTCAAGGTCACCGGTGACAAGGGCGCGGGGTCGCTCATTGACTACGTCGTGGCGTCACTGTCGGTGGCTGACCTGATCTCTGTCAAGGGTGTCCTCACCGTCCCTTGGAAGGTCCACTGTGGCCTCCACATTGAGATCCAGGGCACTCCCGCGGCGTGGTGGCACCGTGCAGTGGTCTTGCCGCGGCCGCTTCCCGCGGTGGAGCGGCCACCGACCGCCCCAGATCCCCAGAGTAAGAGCTGCAGCGCAAGCAAGCAGCGCTCCAGAGACGCAAGGGGGCCCTGCCTGCTGATCATCAAGATGCGTTTCAAGAGCTCCATCAGCCTCCAGATCCGCTGGCCTTGAGTGGCGATGATTTTGCAGTCAGCTTGGATCGATGGCACTCTAACTTGCCCTCTGGAGTGGATGGAGGCAGCCTGCCGAGGTATGCATTCGCGGCGGAGATGCGCATGACCAGTGGGCCTCCTACTGTTTCTTGGGCACTCGAGGGGAACGACCAGCTGTTCCAGGACTACGGCAAGTGGGTCCACCAGGTTGAGCAGTCCCTCCTTGGCCCAAAGCTCACGGCCCACGAACGTGTGCCGTTCATTGGCAGGGCTCGAGGTTTTGCAGTCACTTGGAAGAAGTCGGTCTCGTCGCCTGGACGAGGCCATTGGAAATACGATGGAGCTGAACATTGGTCGGTTATGGATACCCTCTGCAGGAGGGCCTTGGCCATTTTCCTCCATGACAAGGATGAAGAGCAGATGTGCAGCGCATTGGCCAGTGCTGCTGGCCGAGTTCAGCATCTGCGTCAGTATCACTTGGATCAGCGTTCTGATTTACAAGAAGGGGCCAGGACGGCTCTTGATCACATTATTTTACTCCACGAAGGCTTCCACAGTCTCACCAGCGACGAGTTAGTTCAGGGCATGTCGCAGGTTGTGGTGGCGGTTGAGGCTGTCGCAGCATGTGAAGTTGCGAGGGGCACCGGCAAGGCGCGCAAGGCCTATGCCGACTGGGTTCGCCGCATGTGGCGCACCTCTCCTGGTGCTCTTCACCGACATGTTCGGGATCCTGTGGCGCCGCGGCCGGAGGATGCTACGGTGGAGACCACGGCCAGCCCCATTGCTGCCAACGCGGTGGCTGGCCCCATCACGACCATGGCCAACAAATCGGCGAAGTGGGGTAGGATATGGAGCGATGCAGTGGACACCCCAGCGAGCATTACTCAAGCGCTGGCTGCCATCCGACAGAAAGCAGTTGAGGAGGACATCCCTCCGTTGCAGAGTGAGTGAGCAGCTCCAGGCAGCTATGCGAGTCACTGGCAACAGGAGGGCTCGTGGAGTTGACGGGCTTGGAGCTGGCGACTTGTGCCGCCTGCCGTCCCTGGCCATCGATGAGCTCAGGGATCTACTACAGCGCTGTGCGGCTGCCCAGGCATGGCCATTGCAGTTGGCGGCCACGCTTTCTGCCCTCGCCCCGAAGCCATCGGGAGAGGGCGACCGTGTGCTGGGTATGGCACCGCCACCTGTCAAGCTGTGGCCACGTGCTCGCCAGACCTTCACGTCGCAATGGTGCCCCAAGCGTGCTGCGTTCTGGGACACTGCAGTACGAGGCTCGCCAGCCCTGCGCGCTGCCCTGTTAAGGGCGGCACTGGACGAGGCGGCCCAGGAGCAGCAGGTCAGCTTCCTGGTCCTTCTCCTGGACATCGAGAAGTTTTACGACAGCGTCTCGCTGGTGGTCCTCCTCAAGATTGGCCTGGGCTGCGGCTTCAGCCCGGCGGTGATGGGCCTTGAGGCGCAGGTCTACCTCCACCCGCGCTACCTACGTGAGCGTGGCTGGCTCAGCGAGGCGATCTTTCCGACGCGCAGCATTGTGGCTGGCTCGTCCCACGGGGTCCCCTTCTCGAAGCTGGCCCTCTACCCCATCCTGGAGAGGGTACATCAGGAGACCCCGTCAGCGCCCCTGTGGACGCTCATAGATGATACGGTTGGACGATGCGAAGGCCCTGAGGAAGCTGCGCTACCTACGATGGATATTGTTGGCACGTCCCTGGCTCGAGGGTTGCAGCAGAATCGCTCGGTCGTTTCATCGAAGTCTGTCATCCTCGGCTCGTCGGTTTCCCTGGCCAAGAAGTCGGCGAAGAGGTCGCGTGCGAGGGGAGTTCCAGTGAAGCCAGTCTCGCAGGGAGTCGACCTCGGCGTCGTGCCAAGGCCATCTCGCGGCGCATCACGGCGCAGCGTCGAGCTGGGCGTATCAAGAGACTCAGGCGCACGGCGGCACTTGGTCGTGAGGCCCGCGCCTTGTGGGCGACTGGCGCGTGCCCGCAGTCCACCTACGGGCGCCAGGTCCATGGCGCCTCGCCGTCGGCCTTGCTGGCGCTGCGGCGCCAGGCTGCTGCGGCCATCACTGGTGGTCAAGGCGGGCGCTGCTTGACCAGCACGCTGGCGGCCTCTTTCGGCTTGAAGGACCCTGCGGTGGAGATGCGTCGGCAGCTGGTTCTGGAATGGCTTTGTTTCTGGCAGGCCCAACCTCAGCTTCATCGGCGCTTCAGACTTGCGTGGCCTTCGATTCGAGGACGTCTTGTGAAGGCTGAGAAGCGGCGCTGGAACATCGTCAGAGGCCCCATCTCGGCGGTCATTGCTACATTGATGGATGTGGGGCGGGACCCGAAGTCTGCAACGGTCTGGGCACGCCCCACTCTGGCTGGAGTTGATGAGTGG